AAAAATCTATTTTTCCGTGGTCGTTGTCGCTCACAGTCGTTGCCGGTCAAATCTGATGTCGGTGAAATATCAGCGTTGAAAACTGTGTCGCAGAAACTGTCGACGAATTCCATGGGACTCGTCCCGAACAAGAGAGAACACCAATATTGCCGAATATAATCAGATATCGTTCATTATTCGTTTTCTGGAAATGACCATTCAAGAATCGCTGGAAATCCATTAGTTTCGATCGTTCGGACAGTGAGATCGCTGATTTCTCGGCTGGCTATCGCCGTGGCGGATGAGCGGACCACGATCTGCTGAAACAAAAGCTGATACGCCGCACTTCCTCTTCTGGAGGGAGGGGGGAAGGTTCGCTCCTTTCGTTGCGTCGAAAATAAGCCCGTAGGGCAAAGGGAAATGGAAACTGGATCCAGTCCGGCCAACAAAGTTCCCGAGTCGTTCGACCGGGGCAAGAACCGAGACGAGAAACAGAGGAGAAGAGAGAGAGAGAGAGAAAGGGAGAGAGAGAAAGGGAGAGAGAGGTTAAGTGGGGGTTAAGAGAGAGTGTAGGGCCTGTAGGGTATCGGCGGCAAGTATCATCGGCGATAGAAGGGGAGGTCCAGCGATATGAAAGAAAGGGAAATGACCGATAAAAAGGTGGGTCGACGCGGCAGGGGCGCGGCGGAAGGTCGCCGGTTACGAGGGAAAATCCAGTGAACGGACGCAATCTAGGAACTCTTGGGAACCAATCTCCTCTGATGAAAATACCTCGCTCAAAGCGGACGGTTCCCCGGTCGGGGCCAATTTCTTTCGTGACTCTTTTTTGGAGAGTATCGCGCGCAAGCAGAGAAAGAGAGAGGGAGAGAGAGAGAGCCGCCTCTCTCCTCTCTTGACTAGCTTGAAAATTTTCTCGGAAACGAGAGGATCTCCTCCTGGCCGAGGGTGGGGATAAGAGAGCAAAGGGCGTCCCCGCGGCGCTCGCCGCGCTCTCCGCGCTCGCGGGCCGTGTAATCGTTTTTGCCGCCGCGAGTGGAGCCTCTAAACACGGATATCGCCCGTTCCTTTTCATCGTTTATTACCCGGTCTCCGCGGAGGAAAAACCGTCGCGGAATTTCGCGAGCACGCGAGCTCGCTCGCGCAGCTATCTCTCCTCTCCGCGGGAAATCCGCAGGAAAGCTGAACAGATAAAGATCGAGCAATTCCAGGTTAGCCCCGGAGCTCTTCCTGGGACCTGCACTGCGACATTTATGCCGTTCTCACCCTCGGCTTATGCCTTTTCCCGCTTCTTTCGATTCGCCCTGCCTGTTTCCGTCGTTATCCCTTCTTCCCACCCTCCCCGCCCCGTCGCAGGAACCGCCACTCCCCCTCGCCGCTCTCCCGATTTCGGCTCCCGTTCCCGCAGCCGCTCCCTCAGGAGCGGAAGAAGCTGCGGGATTGCCGCGAAAGATGGATTCCGGTATCGAAGGATCGGGGCCAGGATTTTTCTGGTTATATTCCTGCCGCGAGCTATACGGGATATCCCGAGATTCGAACGTACTTCGCCGGCGACTGCTTTGAAGAGCGTCCATGAAAGTTACAACCCTTGCTGGCTGCTGGTACCTAGGGCTTTACGATCGATTGTACCCGGGATCGACCGATCCGCAGAGCCTCGCCAACATCTCGCGTCCGCAACTTATCCGAGAATCCGTTCGAGTTGCGACCAGTAATAAGTGAAAGATGCGGCGAGGATGAAACTCCGGGAAGATACTCTTACGCAACCGCGGGAAAGGTAGCATGGATTTCTTGTTTCTTAGCTCGATCGTTCACGAAGAGGAACTCATTTCGGTGAAACACAAACGCGTCCGTGTTACCCGAATTTTAAATTAATTTCCTTGGTAATCTGCTTGCTATTAATTTTCTGCCGCTTTATGCGAGTCGCTTGAAAATAATTCGGATTTACAGAGAAACATTTCATCGGCACGAGCGTATTTCGTGCTGGAGCTAAGACGGAAATGGAGTGATCCGTAATTTATTTATTATTTATTTAGTCGTTACGTCAAAATATCCTACCGATTTCATTCGAAAATCAGGAATTATTAATTGTCCCTTTAAATCGACGATCGACGACGGTCAAATTCCTCGATCGATTAATTCAATTGCCGATTTTTCGATCATCGAAAAGCCGTTCGTCTTCGGAGGGTTAAATGAATAAATATATACAGTGGGTGCAGAAAGTATTCGTACACCTTTTGAAACAGAATAAGTTTCTTACAATTGGACCACGTCTAAATTTTTTTAAGTCGATAGAAGGATTAGTTTACTAGACAAGGGCTAAAGAATTATTTTCAAAAATTGCAATTTGTTGGCGTGACAAAAGAATAAAAAAAATGACGTTCTTCTAGCTTTTTTATCTGAGCTTACAACGAAAATTTAAAAAATGCATTTCGTAGAGTAAATGCATTCGAGAAAAACGCAGTTTTTCACGAATTTCAACCAAAAGCAAGTAATTTTTACATCTATCAGTGGCTGTAGCTTGACTATGCGTCGATCTATTTTGATGAAATTTTCAGCACGCATACAAATAAGTTATCGAGATCTACAAAATGCATTTTTTAAATTTTCGTTATAGGACCGGATAAAAAAGTTCAGAAAACATCATTTTTTAATTCTTTCATCACGCCAACAAATTGCAATTTTTAAAAATAATTCTTTAGCCCTTGTCTAGTAAACTAATCGGTCTAACACCGCCCCCTCCCCCCAAATTTAGATCGTTTCGCTTAATTACAATAAAATTATTACGTTTTAAAAGGTGTACGAATACTTTCTACGCTCACTGTAAATGACTGATTTTCGTAGCACTCTCTCGAAAACTCGTCCACGGTTCGGCGGGATCCAACGTCGTGAACACTGGTGCCGTAGCATCTTCGTTCGCCGACCGGATTATAAGCCATTTCCGGGGCCGGCGTTCTTTCGCGAAATCCACGGAGCTTAATCGGGAGCGAACGAAGTATTATAGAAACGCCGTGGCCGGACCTCGAGTTTCCTTGTCTCTCGGGAGGGTTTTCAAAGTTCCGCCTCCACGAGGAGTCTTTAACTCGCGAGCACGTTCCCGGGATTAAACGAAAAAGCGTAAACAGTCGCTAGTCGATGGAGGGTATCCACGTGGCGGCGGGTGTCGCCTCGCTTCGGCTTGCTTCGTCTCGCTCCGATTCGTCGTCTCGCCGCCGCGACGAGCGGAAGAACCGGCGAGCAGAGGTTGCCACGCGTCTTCGATTGGCTCATGCATTTTTCAACAGTCGCCATTTGTTTGATCAGACTTAAAGCTTGCTGAGAACTGCACTTTTCGCTCGACCTCCTGAGACGGGGCCACGAGACGAGGCGGGACGCGACGCGTAGGGACGGGTAGCGTCGGGACGCGGCGAGACGGGTCGAGTCGAGACGCGATGCACGAGAAGCGCGAGAGTGTGTTTGCGCGCGCGTCCCATGAAAACGCGAGAACGCCTGTTCCGGCGGAAGAGAGCCGGAGAAACTCGGCAGTCTCTCCTCCTCTTCTCTCTCCTCGTCCCCGTCCCGACACGGCACCCCGTGCCCGGCCGCAAACTATCCGTCCTAACGTTTGCTCTCATCCTCGAAAACGAAGAAACACACTTTCGTGGGACGCGCGCGCGAACTTCCGGCCCGCTCATCGATTTTTTTGTTCGAGCCGGTGCGGCACCCTCGCGCCCACGGCCCCCGAAGAGGCTAATACGCCGTTCGAGGGTCCTTTTCAGCGAGCCGCTAAATTTGTTTGACACCAGGAATTACGTCGCGCCTTTTCAGACGCTCATAAAAGCGTCGCTTTGATCTTGATTAAACTCTTCCTCTCCGCTTGCCGCTTATTCTCCCTCGAGTGGGCCAAGGAACGGGCGCGGAACGGCGTGCGAGCGATCGCGGGGGAATACGCTTGTTCTGCGAGACAAAGCCCAGGCGATCGGTTATCGGAACGGCTATCCGATTGATCCGTCTTTCACCGATCTACAGTAATGTCTCCCTAATTGATGCTCAGATTGTGCACCAAAATGGACAATTCGGGAAGAGGAGATACGATTATTCGAGCCTTGCAACTCGTTTGTATCTTCTCTTGCAAAATTGTCCATTTTTTTGGACAATCTGGGCGTCGATTAGAGCTGTTTGCTTCGATCTGTGCTGCTGATTGCTGTGCTGCTTCGATCGCCGGCAATAAGCTGTTCCGATCGCACGGTGGTCCTAATGACCCGAACATCGCAGATATAACGCGTTTCTATTTTACGCTTGTGCAATTAATTTTGTAAATAAACTCATTCGCAGTTCGAAATTTTGCATAATAATCAGCAGGATCGATCAATTTGACTTCGTTACACTTATGCAATTAATTTTGCGAAACATCTAATTCGCTATTTTAAAATACAGTGGCCCGCAAAAGTGTTCGTACACTGTTCAAAACATAACTTTTTTGAAAACTGGATTAAGTGACTCGAATTTTTTTTAGATGACAGACGCACTAGTATGCTAGACAATGACCAAAATGTCTTTTTAAAATTTTGCTATTATTTGTAATCATGATAAACTTGTCAAGAGTTAGTCGAGTACCTCCTTTTTCTTTCTTTTCGTGATAAAGACTTCTATAACACGCAATGTCTTTTTGCATTGCCCTACGTATACTTGATATGTACGTTCCCCATTGGGATCGCATTTTTCCATAATAGTTAAAAACTTGCTAGATGCATAAAGGCTTCATTCATATTTTTAATCATCAAAGTCTTGACCTCTTGATCGGAACAACGTTGTAATCCGATGGCTAAATTCTGCCCCTGGGAGGGGGCACCAATTACAATGCAGCCTGCTCGACTCACGATGTCCGCTCAGAGGGAACATTCGACGGCAAAGGCGTACAAAGTTGAATTTTTTAAAACGTGCGAAATAGCAAATCGTGCGAAAGTAGAATGTGCGAAAGTCGGGGGCCGCCTGTAATATCAACGTCCACCGGAACAACGCTAAAACCGAACGCCGTCGACACTTACCGATCACGGTGAGATTGTAGCGAAAGCTCCGTGTCTGTCCCTTGCGAAAATCGACTCTGCACCTATAGGTAGCCGCGTCGTGCCTCTTGATGTCCTCTATCACGAGCACCGCGGGGTTCTGCGGCGCGGTTCGAAAGTACGCCCTGGGTCCGAAGACCCCCTGGTCCGAGGAGTGCTGCGCCTTCGTGACCGGCTTCTCCCTCGCGTCGATTCTGCAACGAAATTGGAAAGCGCCGCTGTCGATGAAATTATCAAACGAGTCGGAACAGACGTTTATCTGGCAGTGATCGTCGTTCACTCGGCACAATGAAATCGATCCGAGTCGGCTCGTCGCGTCGCGTCGCGTCGCGTTGCGTCGCCTCGCGTCGAGCCGAGCCGCCCGGGAAACAATAACAGACTGTATATAGGGTGCTTGTTTTGTACCCGGTTAACGCAATATAAATGTAATTTGCCATTTACCGAGAGATTCGCGGGCAGAGGCAGCCGAGCCCGGTAATATTTGGCAAATAGGATGCGATTTTGCGTTTGTAAACGCAATAAACGTTATTACGCGGACACGTCCGGCAGCAATCGGGCCGGTCGGCCGATCGATACCCGGCCAGCCAATTGCGACTAATCTCACTTTTATCCGGTGAGCTAATAAAAATATAAAGAGCTGCGCGGAAACTTTATCATTTAATCGGTCCCTTCGGGAGATCCTTCTCCTCCCCTCGCGCGCCTCGCCGTCTTAGCCCCGGCCTCGTGCCGTTGTCTACGGAAGCACGTTCGATGAGAGAACCGTGGGCCGGGGGGAACGAAGAGGCGAGTCTTCGGGGAGAACGGAAAGAGATACTCAATACCATTGTTCGCATTCCCGGCTACTTCCGCGGAAACTTCTTGCTCTCGAGCTTTGTCTTTGTCTTTGTCGGTCCGCCGGCCCCATTCTTCCCTCTCCCGCCCCTCTCTCGCTCTCTCTCCAGCTCTCTTTCTCTCGCTCTCGCTCTCGCTCTCCTCTGTCTCCCAGTCTCCGTCTCTCAACCCCGTTCCCGTTTTTTCTTCCGGCGGGACCGTTCGACTTGCACGGGAAATCCCAAGAATTCGGGGAACGGGCCGCGGTATTCGATATGTATGTAGGAGACGATCGCAATTTCCGGCCAATGAAATTCGAGTGGAGCGCCGAGGTTTCATTGTAAGGGACACCCGCCGCCGAGGGGAAACGGCGGGGATGCCGGACGGTCCGGAGGGCGGCCCGGAAAACTCTCCGTTTCATCGCGATTCATCGAGTCGGCGGCCGAGCCACACCGCACCCGCGGCTTTGTCCGTGCTCGCGACACCAGAGAATATAATTATTTCGAATCGATGGAATAATTATTGCCGGGGAGTGGAGTGCAACGAGCGAATGGGACGAGATAACGCAATTGAATCGCGGCCCTGTTATCCGATATTTTGCGCGCCGCTACGTCCCGCTTCCGATTCGAAGAAAAACTACTGCGCCATTGCGGATACGGCCGCGTTCCTGAAACGATAGCACACGATTTCTGGGTCCGGTGCACAAAATTTCCCAATTTCTCTTGTCACATTTTCCAGCGCAGGCTGTCCCGCAACGGCGATACAACCGCGGATGATTATACGCGGAAAAAAATGATATCGGAAATAAGGAATAAAGTTCGTTCGTTTCGGATTTCGTTGTCGCGAACATCGATTTCCGAATATTCGGCATTCTCGGCAATTTTTGCATTAATAAAGTAAGCTAGTAAATAGATTACGCGTCTCATTTTGATTTATGTCCGCTCTAAATGCATAGGCAGGAACGAGTAACACGGGACATCATCGTCGACGCGAATGATGTTAGTACCGTTCATAAATGACGTATGACTTCTGTCAAGATTCTAAGTCGATTTTCTCGACAACGAAGCCTCAAATGAAAAAGTTTTATCCCCTATTTTCGATTTGTTTTTTTATGCAGGATCGCCTCCTTGTCGGTTCTATCTGAATATCGATCTGGTTGCTGCATCAACTCAAATCAAACGATGAACACGTTGATCTGGTAACTCGGATCAAATTTTACAAAACTTGTAATTTCGCTGTGCAGAGTTGAATGGAGATAAAACTAATTGCACTGCCGTGAAATTTAATAGAAAATAATAAATCAAGATTTTGCGTCTTTGTTCGAGACGGGTCGACACATGATCGTTAAGAAACGCGCAAAGTTTCGAATCCGAAACTTTATGAGGTCTAGAAACTCTAGAAACTCTCGGAACACTTGAAACCTGGTATGCTTATTCTTTTAACTCTTTTTCTAAGGTACGTCTGCTTCGCCAGGAACTAAAATCTTGACAAACTCTTTCCAGGAAATCAAATTATCTGTAGAATATAATTAAACGTAAAATTAAATGTAGTTGTAATTTAGAAGTGTTGAGCACAGATTTCGCAAACAAAAATCAACGTGCTTGGTTGAACGAATTTTTCCAGTCGATTCCGGGTGAATTCTACCAACGAGATATTGAAAATCTTGTCGAGAACGTTGGAACAAGTTACAAACAAGAAGGGAGAATACATTATTGATTAATTAGTTGTTAATTTTTATCGAAAGATAAACTTTTAAAAAATTAGAAAAAAAAGACAGGAACTTAGTTGTGCCAACCCAATAATAAAAAATGCCACTTCGACACGAGTATCGGTGACAATCGAGTGCAAAGGTGTCAGGAAGACATCCCGAATAAGCTTGTTCTTTATCCGAGTTAGACTCGCGAAAGCTGCTTTGCCGACGAAACGCCGCTAAAATCTTCGATGCGTCGGACCGTGCCGGTTCGTTATCGTCCGGTAGCGGGGCTGCCCAGTGGAAAGTCGTCGCGGAGAAGTTAACTAACGAGGAGAATGCTCGGGAAGAGGGCGGCTCGTAAAATGACGACGGGCAGCGGAGCCGCATATATTTATGCCGTCGCTATTTACCCTGTGCCTGGAGGCCGTGTAGCATTTTTACGAGGAGAGAGTGAGAGAGAGAAAAAGAGAAAGAGAGAGAAAGAGAGAGAGAGGAGAGAGAGAGCCGAGCAGCCGGGAGCTCCGACTGGCGTGCTGCGCCGAAGAAAGAACACGGTCTAAGAGGGGTCGAGGAGCACGCGGTGCACGCGGAGCACAAGCACCACCACCGGCAGAAGCAGCCGAAGGGCGGCCGAGGGGTCGAGAGGGGCCAAGCGGATCGAGAAAGGATCGAGAGGGTCGCGAAGGTGCTGCAGCGAGAACGAGGCGAAATATTGGAAGGCGGGCTGCACGGCGAGATAAAACGTTTCATAAAACAGACATTGATTCCGTATTACGCGACGTGGATCGAGCAGTCCAACGGGCCTGAGCAAGAAAGATACGCGGCTCCTTATTGCATTCGATCGCTTGCATCTTTCTACGATCCTCGATCTTCCCATGATCGTCGATCTTTCCACGATACGAGATCGAGGCCGACGAAACTTCTTCAAATTAAGAGACACGTTGTTCCGAGATTTATTGCGTGCACCTTAGACCATACGTAACTATCGACGCGGCTTCGGATAGTTTGCCTGAAGGGAAGACGAATCGTTTGTGTGACGTCACGACGGACTAGATGTACAGTAAATTCTCTCCAATTGTCTCTCAGCTCGTAACCAAAAATGGAAGAAGAATAGAATTTGGAAAGAAGAGTTACGATTATTCAAGCCTAACGGTTTGTTTTTATGGTAGCCGATTGTCAACAAGTATAAAAACGAGGTGTTCTTTTAATTCTAAATAAATTAAATGCAACATTCCCCTTTATACTGGAACATGTTTCGAACAGTACCATTCGCTGAAGAAATATTAATTATTTATAAAATTAAAGATTCGAAAATAATATACTTCATCTAATAGAACAGAGAATAATACCTTAGAAATTTCAAATTATGAAAATGAATGAAAATTTCATCGAAATCGGTTAACCTTAACACGAGTTGCAAATGATTGAAAATCGCATTCAGCATACATATACCGAGATCTCCAAAATTAATTTTTAAAATTTTCGTTATAGGCTCGGATGTAAAAGTTGAAAAAACGTTATTTTTTAATTCTTTTATCACGCCAACAAATTGCAATTTTTGAAAATAATTTTCTAGTCCTTGTCTGGTAAACTAGTCACTCTAATATTCCCCCTAAAATTTAGACCACTTGGACCAATTATAATAAAGTCATTACGTTTTAAAAGCTGTACAAATATTTTCTACACTCGCTGTAAATTGTTAAAAATGTAACGTGCTTCACTGAATTATTCGTAACTTTTTAACATGGCTAATCGCGAAAAAGCAGGCAATGTAGAATATAATATTTAACGTAAAATGAAGTACACAAAAATCATCGATAACTGCACAGTAAATCAAAAGAAGAAAGAGAGAGAGCGTCAGGGAAATTCATCACTTTTGACAAAGCATACCGCTTCATAAAAGAATAGAGTAAACTAAAAAAAAAAACTAACTGTTTTAGGAATATCGTTTTTTGTATACATTCGAATATCTCTGAAAACAAAAGTTTCATATTTCACACGAGATTGTTGAAATCGACTTTTGACCAGTCTTTTGATGCCACGTATTCCACCGCGCGACGGAAGATTTTGCAGACGTTTAATAGAGAAGAAAGCGGAGCGACGAAGAAAGAGAGAAAATAGCACTTCGAGCGCGTTTGGAATGGAAGCAAGATGGCTCCGATGATTGCGCAAGCCGGCAGCTGACTGTAAGACAGGAATCATCGAGTCCGCGTATTTCTAAATAATCGCGACGAGCAGCCGTGTTGTTATCGGCCCTTTTCCTCCCTCGTTCTCATCCCCCGTCTATCAGCGGCGTCCAAGCCATCGAGAAAATCCTTCGTCGGACGGAGCGAGCGGCTGCTGAGGGGGTTGGAGACGGGCCGATGGAAACGTTACCATGGCTTTAGCAGAATCTCCCGAGAGGAAAAAAGTACAGACGACGAGTAGGACTGGATTTGTCGCGGAAACGTTCGCGTTTAGATATTTATAACGCGTGCACGTTCAATCCCGCGTTGCAGTCGATTTCGCCGATGCGACGAGAAAAATCCCGATTTATCGGACGAGCGACTTCGAGTAATTATGTAATTCGCGGCCGCTGAACAATTCCTCCGATCTATTAACGCTGGAGCCGCGCGGTCGAAGATGCGCGGCTCGATTTTCTCGACGAAACTGCGAGAATCCTTTCGTCTATCATTGATTTTATACTGGAAT